ATGTTCTCACTCATATTACATATACCAGCGTATATGTAATATGCAAATAGCAGATATTTCAATGTGGTTTCTCATTCAACAATGGCTTATAATAAAGTTCCAGTAGATGCTGAATGTGGCTATACTACATTTCTAAAATATTTGTAAATGAAAATACAATTATGGAGAATTCCTTCTTTTATTCCACACAAATCAGTGATGTTTCACTGATACAGGTACTATTAAAAACTCAACTTATTTGACAATTTATCATTTAATGAATTTCTCATGGTGGAGCAGATTGACTAGCTGAACATATCCTACCTTCATAAAGATGTTTCTGAAAAAACAATATCACCAGACAATGCACACAAAAAATGGGTACTTCTTACAGACATACTAAGAGTTTAAAATACAGGGTGCAGGACCCTAGTGAAGTTGGTAGATCCGCTGGGAGAACGTTGTTGGAATTATTCTTGAAGTAGTCGGCAGTTTGGGTTACACTTGAATTTCAGGCTTAATGGGCAACAATAGTGTATTGTTGTCAAAACTCAAGGCAATTGTACATTGAACAGAATGTTTTTCATGTTGTTAGCACTGCTTCTTGAATGCACAGTATTTAATAAAAAATATTTCATAAGCCATTTGTTTACTCTTGAGTTTCAGTCAGCAATTTCGATAGTAGTCTCCAGATAGCTTGTACCTGATAAGTAATGGTCCCCGGCAAAGCTCGCCGAGAAGATCACAGCTATACTGCTGGAGAAAGTTATCTACACTCCCACTCTCTACTTGTTCACTTCTCATTCAAGTCCTCAGCCTGTTGCAGTTTCTAACTTTACCACTTATTAATTGTGTGTCCCTTGTGTCTCCAGTTTCTCATCTAGAAAAGAGGATAATGGAAGTATGCACATTATAATATGTTTGAATGAGAGTATGTATGTAGATATGTGTGTATATACTTTGTGAAAATCACATATGTATGTGTATATGCTAATAGAAACTTCCTAATGTATTATGCTATTGTATATAGTATTTTAACGTCTGTCTTTTATTACCTTGAGACCATGATCTTCTATGTCACCAAATGGCCTGTACGAAGAGAAAGGGCCCTTCTAGTCCTTGTGTTGCTTGAATTCTCAGCCACGTTGAACACGGTTGAGCACGTGAATTTTCGGAAACGCTTTCGCTCTTCTTATTTCCATCAAGTTTGCTCTACTCTCTCTTCCTCAGTTCTTTCTGAGTGCTTCTTTCTCGCTTATTCCTCAAATGTTAGGCTTCCTCAGGGTTCAGCCCTTGGCACTTTGCTCTTGTTGTTTTACCCATTTTCCTTGGCTAGTGCCATTTGGTTTTAGAATTTGAATTATTGTAAAATCTAAAAGCTGATTATGTCCACATTTCTATTACCTGCTTCAATTTTATACCAGACCTCTATATCCACCTGCCCGCTTGGCATCCTATATGCACCTCACATTCAACATGTGGAAACTGGCCTTGTCATCTTCCCTGTCCTATCCTCCCTTCCCTCATTAAATGGTGCCAGTATTTACCTAGTTGTTCATCAAATGAACATAAGGGTTATATTTGTTTGCTCTATTTCTCCTCCTGACTCACTCATATGTAATATCAAGTCCTCTATGGTCTTTATCTTAAGGAATCCCTTAATTTCATTTTATCCCAGCTGCCCCTTCTTTAATTTTCCTGTGGCCTGACCCTAAAGCAACATTTTAAATAGCTTCTCCACCTCTAGCCTTGACTTAATTACTCTATGTAAAATACCAAAAATGGTTCTGGAAAGTAAATATAATCATCTTTTTTCTCAGCTTCAGAAAATACAGTCTCTTTAAATATAGGCTGGTCTCTGTTTATCTCTCTAGTTTCCTCATCTGCGTGGAATCCATGCTTTCTACTCTGGCATTTTGCACATGCTGTTTCCTCTGACTAAAACATTTCCCTAATTTCCCTACTATTTGCTGGCTCAGTTGATAATGATACAGTAGGCCTTAGTTATTCTTTACTTTCTCTAGGATGCCTTCATAGGCATTCCTCCAAGACATTACTCTTGACATTTCCCATGATGCCTTTACTTTTACCATCATCACATATATTGTGGTGCCTTGCAAGTGTCCATTTACATCTCTTTCCCAGTTAGACTCCAGATTTCAACAGAGTAAAAAACATGTCTACATTTTTCAAGGTTACAACCCCAGCATCTAGATTAATGTTAATAATTGAGACTGTATTGGATAAAAATTTGTGAGTGCAAATATATTAGTCAATAAGTCTTTTCAAGCAAGAATAACTGAGAAATGGGTCAAAGCTCATGATTTGCTTTTTAAAAAAATTTAGAATGTTGTTAAAATATACAAATGAACTCAGAATACACAAGTTTCACACTATAAAGTTCACACAATGAGGAGTAATATTTTAAGGCATGAAACATGTGGTCTAGGGTGATGCCCATTTAATGACATCACAACTTAATTTGAGCCTGGCATAATTACTATCCCAAATATCTAGGCCTTGGGAAGCAACTCAAGTCTTGTCTGGTCACAGTTATACGTGTTATATTTTATTCAACCAATTTATTTTGGTAATTCAAAGGCTTCACATTTTTACAGTTTGAAAGGGAGATTTTTTTTCTCAGTTCTTTGGGCCTCTTTTCATATTAATTTTTACATCATTTAACCTATATTTTTTCTGCCTATGTTTTAAAATACCTGTTCATCCTTTCTTTTTCCTACTGCTCCACAGGGCAAAAACAAACTCCCAAATTCCATAATCTTTTATGTCCATTTAAAGCAAGAGTCCTCAGTAATACAGCTTTGAACAAGTGAAAGTATGATTCTATCAGATTGGTTTACCATATCAGTTCATTTTAGTCTCAGTACCCCCATTTCTAACCACAAATACAGTGCGTATCTTCACTCTAGTATTTTAAAATATACTTAATTTAGAGATCTCTCTACCTAGCTACTTGCTTAATCTTCCTCTTCTATCAAATCAACTTTTTTTTTTTTTTGGGGTGGGGACGGAGTCACACTGTCACCCAGGCTGGAGTGCAGTGGCATGATCCGCTACCTCTGCCTCCCAGGTTTAAGTGATCCTCCCACCTCACCCTCCTGAGTAGCTGTGATTACAGGCATGTGCCACCATGCCTGGCTAATTGTTTTGTATTTTTAGTAGAGATGGGGTTTCACCTTGTGGCCAGACTGGTTTCTAACTCCTTAACCCAGGTGATCCACCTGCCTCGGCCTCTCAGATTGCTAGGAATACAGGCATGAGCCACCGTGCCTGGCCCTATCAAATCAGCTTTTCAAAGGAGATGGATTTTAAACATGTTAAATATTTTGAAAAGACTTACTTAAAAACAGTTACAAGGTAAATTGTTTCTTACATATATATATATATATATATATGATTTTACCCTCAAAGTTTTCTATTGGCTCTCAAAAGTTTTTTTGGTCAGTTGTTCTGTTCAACATTTTAAATGGGAAGTATAGGATTTGTTCATTTCCACTGGACATATTTCATACCTGAAAAAGAGGTTTTAGGGCTGTAGACATAAAGCATATGTAGACATAAAGCATATGTATACAAAATCCCTGATTGCTTGGCAAATATATATATATTGGTGTGTGTGTGGGTATGTATATATATATGTGTATATATATGTATATGTAGGCATTTTATATATGTATATATATGTATATGTGTGTGTGCATCTAAATGCATATACACAGAAATACACTCTGTATTTACTATATTTGTGTATACTGTATGATATGTAATACATGTATAATGAATATAACTGTATGTATATATACTATAAATACTATGTTTACATATGCATGTATACATTATATATGTAGTGTTATCCCAAATGGTTTACAAATACCTGATGAATTAATATTCTAAATCAAAACTTGTAGTTATCTTAATAAAATTGACAGTAAAAATGTCTAAAAAGGAATGTCAGTCATAATTTATATTATGCCTTAATGAAAACCAAGCTACTCTGATCAGTACAGCAAAGAAACAGAATTGTCAGCATAATATCTATTAAGATTTCCTTTAGATAAAGGAAAACACCTACAATGAAAATACATTAAATTGTAAGTCTCCATCTCTATCCTCTATCATGCTGCCCAAATGTGCTTCTTAAGATGCAATTTCTTAACATTTCTTGAAGATAACATAGATTTTTATAGCTCAATAGCTTTGTAAATGGCGATTTTGTTACATGTACTTATTCTAAGATTTTTTTTTTGAAGTTCTTTTGCTCTTTACATTTTTTGGCTCTCATAATTCTTTGCAGACATCTCTATCATTTATTTACCACATTGTATCACCTTCCTTCTTTACTTTTCTGTCTTTCATACTAGGACCAATGTACTGTTAAATTTTATAGGCAGACAACGTGGGAAAAAAATTCTGAGGTTGTGGAAAATATATATATATTCTGGCTATAAATTATGAAAAAATACATCAAAATTAGTAAATGTTAAAATGCCTATAAAAATAATCTCAAGCAAATATAACTCAACTCAGATGTGGTTATGTGAATTATATTTCATTTGAGATGTGAGTACATTTTAATGTTTTATATGATATCAGGCAGATGTGAAAAACTCTGAGTGGCTAAATCCTGAGAATGTATCAAGTTTGCTCTATGGTCCTACTATACTTTGAGAGCAAGAATAGTGTTTGACTCATTTTTATAATTCTGAAGACCAGTGGTGGGCAACTGTACATGGTAAGTACTTAAACACTGGCAAAGAAATGCCTGGAAATTATAAACATTCTGCAAGTATCACATGGCTGAGTAATTGTTCATATTAAATGAATGTAGCCTGAGAAGCAGTATATAATTGTTGAGAGTGTGACATTGAAGTCCCACAAACCAAGGTTGGAGTTTTGGTTTTATCACTTATTAGAAGGGCGATTTAGAGTCAGTCATGTATCTCTCTAAGACTAAATTCTCTCCTTTATCAAATGGAATAATAGTAGTATTTACCTTTTAGGATTGTCATGAGGATTGAATGAGATAATATATGTTAAATGCTTAGAAGAGTTCATGGAATGAGGTAAGTTTTAATAAAAGTTGAGTTAATGTTATTATCACTTTAAGCTAGGTAAAAGGTAGCTTTAACAAAAATAGCTACATCTATAGTATTTAAATTTTCAAATAGCTTTCATTCTTGTTAGCTAAATTTGAGGAGAGTAGAGATGAGAGGTCGTAATGAACAACTTTCTCCAAATTCTCAATTCTCACCAGCAACAGATTGTAAAACAAAAAATGCTGGAATAAGTCAGATTTTGAGGCTCTATGTAAAATTTAAAAAGTGATGGTGATAAAAGCTTTCTTATTCTCAAGATAACATGCATGAAAACAATTTGTGATTCAGGATAGCAATACGGGTATGTCTTTAAGCCAAGTAACTCTTTCTGACACATTGTCCTTGCTTTCTAAAGTAGGCCTCATCTCACTTTTAATGTGTGAAAGGAGAGATTATTCAACACAGTGGTAGACACATTTTTGTTCTCAAGAACACTGAGATATCATTAATCTTCTGGCATGCCTGCAAAGGCGGGTTATGTGAATGCTAGTCTTTTGCAAGGCTATAAATAAAGTTTAAAGAGAGAAAGAGACAGAAAGAAAAGATGTTTTCCTGAAGCTTCTATTGCCACAGTACGGACCACATTAAGGGTGCAATAAGTTACCAGTAATAACACTTAAAAAATCCTCTTTATGGGTTTTCAACATCTGTCTAGAAAAAATCCAGCCTAAAAATAGAATCTGGTCTTGTAATGCAGCTTTCTCAAATTGGGTTATCCTAAACATTCTCCGTATTGAAAAGTCACATATGACAATTTAGGGCCAGGTTTGTGGCATATCAGTGCTTTATCATATATATCACATGCTTAGGATCCTATAAGATGCTGCCATACACATTCATATATTAGGGTACATGGGTATGCGTGCACATGTGTGTGTGTGTGTGTGTGTGTGTGAATGGGAAAGCGTTAGTGAAAATAATTTTTGCTTCTTTGGCTTCTGAAATGCAAAGCAAAAATGACACAAGTTTTTCTCATTTTTTGTGTTAGGAGTTTCATTCTGTTTGATAATCTAAAAGACCTAAATTTCATAATTATCCATGTTCGAAAATACTCTTAGGAATAATGCTTGTACTGCTAAATGCTGTTAGAGCATTATGGATTATTATTGCATATAATATAGACTTAATTTTCCCATCAAATTGGAATAACTGGTAGCATTTTTTGGTTCTGGTAAAGGCCTCTCTCCTAGGGTTCTTCAGTGAGCAAAACTTCTGCTGACTTCATGAGAAGCTATAAAGCAATTAACACATCACAATTATTGTTTAGAGCTATTTTTATTCAAACCTATAGAGCTAAAAAACAAAAATAAATACATTTCTTAAAACATCAATTTCATTGTACTCTAATTATATCTTACCCTACACACTTGGAAGATTTTTTTTTTTCATAATGTTTTGGAATTTGGAACTTCCAAACAGTTTGTATGTGACAAACTAAAGACACTGCAATTAGAATCTCTTTGCTATTCTGTTTTTAAGGAGTTTGTGTTGCTAATTAAGAGTCAACGTTTCTGGCAGTTTTTCAGTTTGAGCAAACCTTTAGATTCAAGACAATCTGCTGACGTGGCACTCCTGATCCCTTCATCACACTCATTACTGAACTTCAGGGGGGCTCCTGGGTCTTGTGGCTCTTTGCTTTGCCTTCTGAATTTGAGAGGCCTCATCTGGCGGCTTGTGATGAGACAGCCATTTCTCTACTGGTCTTTGCATGTGGCTCCACTCTCACACAGCTCACATATGGGGGCTCGTTACATTCTGTTACTGATTAGGATAGAACAGGCAGTTTAAATTCCACATCCAAGAAACATAGTAGAGTTTCCATGCCATGTATGTAAGAAGCTAAAACACAGCCTGATCTTCTCCTCAACACAGAAGGTAGAATCCTCAGAAGCCTAGAATCCTTTGGAGATCTAGACCTGACCATCAACAGGGACAGTGATGCTAATTAGATAATTTTAATAGAGTTTGAAAACCATTGAAAATGTGAATTTAGAGAGTACAATGTGGCCTTAATTTATAGAAGAAAACAAAAAAGAAAGGGAAGATAAATAGAATAGTAATGAATATTTATGAAGTTTTTATTATACATGGTTAAATACACAGTTACCTGCTCTGTTACTGAAAATATTTTCATGAAGTATATATTACTTTCCTATGGAACACTGAAGGAAACACACTATTGGGGCAGGGTAGGTAACTTGTTTGTGAGCTCAAAATTACTAGGTAGTAGAGACAGGATTTGAATTCAGGTTGGTCCGATTCTGAAGTTCATATCCTTAACCAGGATCAATAGGATTCACCCAGTATCAGATGGTGGTTGAAGCAAGATTTCATTTGCTGGGTTCCTCCCTTTGCCTTCAAGGGACCTTCTCCCCCCTTTTGGTGGTCTTTATTACCATCTACTGTCCCATTGTTCACAGACCTTATTTTACCTCATCCTTGTCCATTCTCAATAAAATGTGAACTGAAAATAACACTAGCTAACTGTACTTCTCTGACACATGACTATATTTTGGTAAAAATTAATACACAAAAATGTCTCTAAGATGAACAAAATATACTTCAGACAACACAACAATTTGAGAAAGTCGGAAGACGTAAGGGCTAAGAAACTGTTTTCCTAGAGAGGGACTTGAGGTCTGGGGAAACTCAGTGTTTTCTACTCAGATACCTTTACACAGATAAAATCAGTCTAAAATGAACCCCAAGAGCATATTTGTAGGCAAAAGAAGTCATGAACTAAATAGCTTAAGAGGGCTGGGCGCAGTGGCTCATCCCTGTAATCCCAGCACTTTGAGAGGCCAAGACAGGCAGATCACTTCAGGTCAGTTCAAGATCAGCCTATAAAATATGACAAAGCTTCTTCTCTTCTAAAAATACAAAAATTAACTAACTGCAGTGGCAGGCACCTGTAATCCCAGCTACTCTGGAAGCTGAGGCAGAAGAATGACTTGAACCCAGGAGGCGGACGTTGCAGTGAACCAAGATCGTGCCACTGCACACCAGCCTGAGCAACAGAGCAAGACTCTGTCTCGTAAACAAATAGCTTAAGGAGAGAAGTGTGGTCAGGGTGGGGAAGAATAAATCCTTTGCTTTGTGCCACTAGAGTATTTTCTGAGGTTCTGAATTAATTTTATAAAACCTTAGGTTTTCTTCCTTTATTTCCCTGTTATTCTATTCCAGCGGAAAAACTCAGACTAGGTCACATGACCTCAGAACACTTGCATAGGAATGCATTTCTTCTCATTGCTCTCAGAGCTGCTTCCTGCTCAAGAGGCAGGGATCTGCTGGCCCGTGGTTAGATAACCACAAGCCTGCTTGAGATGACTTCTTCCCTGTTGGTGATGGCACACAGCTCTTTATTTTAAAGCTAATATTTACTGACAGAACTTAGGGAAACCTAATATAAACTTGCTAAGTTTTCAAGTGTATAGAGTAAAAACTATCAAGAAATACTAAAATAATCAGAAAAAATTGTTTATAATCTCACTAATATATCAATTGATACACTTTGCAGCCTTCTAATTTTTTTCTGTGAATGCTTAACATATAAACATATATATATATTTGTTTTTGTTTTTGTTTTTTGAGACAAGAGTCCCACTTCATCAACCAGGCTAGAGTATAGTGATGCGATCTTGGTTCACTGACTACAACCTCTGTCTCCTGGGCTCAAGCTATTCTCCTGCCTCACCCTCTCAAGTAGCTGGGATTACAGGTGCCTGCTACCATGCCTGGCTACTTTTTATATTTTTAGAACAGATGGGGTTTCAATATGTTGGCCAGGCTGTTCTCGAGCTCCTGACCTCAAGTGATCTGCTTGCCTTGGCCTCTCAAAATGCTGGGATTACCAGCATAAGCCCCTGTGCCTGGCTGTTTAACATACTTTTAATCATAACTAGTATTTTTTTAGTTTTTCTTTCTTTCTCTTAATATTATGCCATAGTCATTTTCTAGGATACTAAGCATTTTTCATTAGTTAGGCTGAGGGTTTTTGTGGAGGGAAGGCTGGGGATAGCTCTTTCTTTAACCATCATTAATTAATTCTCATTTATAATTAATACATAAAGATTATACATATTTATGGGATTCAGTACATGTTTCAATGCATGTATACATTGTGTACTGATCAAATCAAGGTAGTTACCATAGCTATCACTTTTTTTTTTTTTTTTTTGAGATGGAGTTTCGCTCTTGTTACCCAGGCTGGAGTGCAATGGCGCGATCTTGGCTTATCGCAACCTCCGCCTCCGGTGAGGCAATTTCTCCTGAGAATTGCCTCAACCTCCTGAGTAGCTGGGATTACAGGCACGCGCCACCTTGTCCAGCTAATTTTTTGTATTTTTAGTAGAGACAAGGTTTCACCATGTTGACCAGGATGGTCTCGATCTCTTGACCTCCTGATCCACCTGCCTTGGCCTCCCAAAGTGCTGGGATTACAGGCATGAGCCACCACGCCTGGCCGCTATCACTTTTTAATGGCAGTGTCATGCTTTTTCAGTTACTACAGCTTTTTAGTACATTTTTAAGTTAGGTAGTGTGATGTCTCCAGCTTTGTACTTTTACCTCAGAATTGATTTGGTTATTCAGGGTTTTTTGCATTTACATATGAATTTTACGATTTTTAAAAATTTCTGTGAAAAATGCCATGGTGTTTTGATGAAGATTGCATTGAATCTATAGATCAATGAGATAATATGAACATTTTAACAATATTAATTCTTTGAATTCATGAATACAGAATATCTTTCCATTCATGTCCTCTTCAATTTCTTTCATCAAAATGTTACAGTTTTTATTGTAGGGATTTCTTACCTTCATGGCTAAGTTTATTCCTAAATATTTTATTTATTCTATAGCTATTGTAAATAGATGCTTTCTTGATTTCTTTTTCAGATTGTTCACTATTGGTGTATAGAAAAGCTGCTAATTTTTGGCCGGGCGCGGTGGCTCACGCCTGTAATCCC